ATATGTAGAAAGAGTATTCTTTTTTGTGTATGGACCATTATTTCCCTTTACGCTTGTAGCAAATATGTCTTTTTAATCAGCTTTTCTACGAAAAGATGAGATGCTTTTTTATGTTTGCCTTGTAACGTATCCTTCGCACTTTGAAACTCCTGTAATTATATACACTTTCCCTTTCATCCTTTATAGTTGTATTCTATTAACAATTCTTCGGAAATGACTTTACAGAAATGTAATGTAGTCTCTTTGGCTCAGAATATTCTTCATGAGTAGTATCTATAAAATGAAAAGAAATTGTGGTTAATATTAATAGTGAATATATTTATAACCACTTAAAAATTAAGAAGATTGAAGATATGAGTAATTTTTTATGGGAAACAAACATTTTTTGGAATCTCTAATTTTACATAGCTCATTCTCGGAACGCTCAAATAAGAATAACATTTACCTGCAAGAATAAGTTTTAAAGGTATACATTAATGTACAAAAATGGGGGACGCTATTTAATTAGAGTAAAATTTTATTTATTTGATTTATCACAGTGATTTTGAAACTATTTTATTTGTTTTTCCAATTTTATGAGTTTGTACCACTGCGTTTCTACTTTGTTTTCTGTATAAAAATTGTTGTTGTGCAGTATTAATAATAATTACAGCAAAATATCCAGCAGCTTGTCTATGTAGATCTAAAAATAGAAGACACATGTATCGGTGTTTTGAAAGTTTACATCGCAAAGTAACCTAAGTAGGTTTATAGTGTCTTCGGCAATATTGCAGAGAAAAATACGAGGAATATCTTGATCGAAAATGTCGAGTCAACAATCGAGTTTTTTATTCATATTTTAAATTTAATTAAAATTCCACAAACTTTTTGCCATAAAATTCGACTATAGTATCTAGATCTAGATCAAAAGTCTAAATCATACTTTATATTTTCCATATGAATAAAACCATACTAAAAATTTGGCCGACATGGCTTGTTGTTTAAACTAATTCTTAAAATAATCTAAAGCTAAAATTTTCGAAGCTCCATAGTAAATGTTGCGAATTTATATATACATTTTTGGGATCGTATAGTCAAGGTTATACAAAAGCCTAATACAATAAAAACCCAAAACTCTTTTGTGGTTTTGATCAACAAACCGAGCACCATCATATCCCCTTGGAATTTTCCACAAATCACACTGGATATTGGACTGTGACACTGTTAGAAAATTTTGCAGCAGATTCGGAAAAAAAAAAATTTCGAAGTAAAAAAAGTTTTTTTGTAAGCCAAAGTTGATGATTTTTTTATACCCTCCACCATTCTATGGAAGGTATATTAGCTTTGTCATTCCGTTTGTAACTCCTCGAAATATTCATAATAGACCTTACAAAGTATGTAAATTCTGAATCGGAATAAAATTCTAGCGATGTACGTCTGTCTATACGTTGTAATCACGCTACCCTCGAACAAATTGAGATAGAAGTCTAAAATTTTGCATACCTGCATGGTTTACTAGTAGGCATATCGGTCCAGGTTTTCTTATAGCCCCCATATAACTGTACCTCCCAATATTCGGTATTTTTATGATTTTAGCGACATTATTTACCGGAACCGTTTCAAAATCAGTATTGGAAGATCTTAATGGGCACTACAACTTATGGCATAAAATTGCATGAATACCCATATGACGGTACCTCCCTATACTCGGTATTTTCATAATTTTTGCGACACAATTCACAGGGATTGTAACAAATTTCATATTTAAACTTCGTAACGGGTACTACAGCTTATAACAAAGAATTTCGTATGCAGGGTCACGTTTTCATATGTACCCTATATAACGGCACCTCCCGATATTCGATATTTTAATGATATTAGCGACATTATTCACTGGAACTGTTTCAAATTTCATGTTTGAAGTTCGTAATGGGTACTACAGTTTATGACACAAAAATTCGTAAGCAGGTGCACGTCTTCGTAGTCCCCATATAACGGTTTCATTTAAGTGGTAGTTTTCGGATTTTTTTTTTTTGCGATTGATAAAAGTTCCATATACTTTAGTAACCGTTGGAAACTTCAAATTTGAAACAATTCCGTTGAATATTGTACCTAAAATCGTAAAAATATAGAATATAGGGTGGTACCGTTATGTGGGTGCTATACGAAGACCTGGAACTGCATAGGCAATTTTCTGTCACAGACTGTAGTACCCATTAGGACGTGAAAATACGAAGTTTGAAATAATTCCAGTGAATAATGACGCTAAAATTATCCAAATGCCGAATATAGGAAGGTGCCATCATATGTATATACTTTGTGGGGTCTAAAAATTATACTTCGAGCTGGTATAAACGTAATGATAAAATAAATATACCCTTCATACTATGGTAGAGGACATAAAAACTATAGACGGTAATCAGAGAGAAAATTTCGTTGAATGAAGTGATTTGTTTTTTATTTTGTAGGAAGAATTAGATAATACACCTTCTTAACCCAATTCGTTCCCAAATATAATTTTAATTTTTGTTCTTGAAAAAATTTACTTTTTATACCCTACAACACTATGTGTTGGGGGTATTATAAGTTTGATTGGGACAAAACTCCTCGAAATATTGGTTTTCCACATAGGAAAGTATATATGGATCTTCCTATTTCGCCGAGCTGAGTCGATCTAGCTATGTATGTCCGTCCGTCCGTCTGTCCATGTTAATTTGTAATCACTTTACAGGTTGCAATTATGGCCCGATCTTCACGAAATTGAAAATGGAGGTGGGGTTATGGTCATAATATTTAGGGGTTGAGATGGACCATAAACTGAAAAATTTCTTGATTTTGCAGTCGCTCTACAGGTCACAATTATACACCAATCGGAATTTTGCATGGATTTAGAGTTTAGGACTGGGCTGAAGCGTACAAATTTGTATGGTCATTGGACCATATTTAACGAGTAAAATAGACTATAACTTTTTTGTAAAAAAAAAAACGAAATTTTCCACTGAACCGCGAATATTTTTTATCCTCCAAAATCACAAATACACGAAAATGTCACTTTTGACCGTTACATTGATGCTCATATACAAAATCTCGCATTTATAGCAAAATATATACAATCAAGAACCGCTGGACCGATTTTAACAATTCTCATCAACTCAGAATGGTCTCTTTCCAGAAAAGGATAACATTTAAGAAAATCACATAAAAATATGCCAATAAAAAAGTGAATATTTTTTGTTACTTTTTTTTCAATTTTTGTCATATTTTTTTATCGCATGCGATTTTTTCAATTTAACTTACAATTTTGAATTGTACATTTTTAAAGTTTTTCTACACCCCCCAATACTATGTGTTGAAGGTATTATATTCAGATCCCAATTATCGTCCAATCCTCACGCAATTTTCATGAGGTAGCGTTAGGGTCAGAATTAAAGACTACTGTTATGGAGATTTAAATTCAGGGGTTCAAATGGCGGAGGAGGGACCATTTTTAGTTTTTTTTTTTTTAATTACTGACAGATGACTCTTATTACCTACGATACACAAAAAATGTACCCTTTCATACATATTTATACCCTACACCACAAGGTGTTCAGGGTATTATGTCTTTGTGCATTTGTTTGTAACAGGCAGAAGGAAACGAGATAGACCCATAGTTCCTTTTGATGATCTGCATAGAATCACATTCTGAGTCGATCTATGCATGTCCGTCCGTCCGTCCGTCTGTCCGTCCGTCTGTCCATGTATTTTTGTAAACAAAGTACAGGTCGCATTTATTGCCCGATCCAGATGAAATTTTGCACAGATCATTTGCTTGACCCAAGGACGAACCCTATTGAAATTGGAGATAATCAGTCAAAATTTAGATATAGCTCCCATATATATATTCGTCCGATTTACTTTTTATTGTGCACCAAACGTGTAATATCAATCCGAATTCTATGGAATTTTGCATATACACCCAAATTAGGCCTGGAAATAAGTATGCCATCTTTGATCGAAATCGGTTCAGATATAGCTATAGCTCCCATATATATTGTTCATCCGATTTGTTATTTTTGTCCTCCGCAACCGTAATATGCACTCTGCAACAACAATATTTGGGTAAATATATCAAATACAGCTCAGAAATACATTTGCAAAATTTTATCGAGATCGGATCAGATTTGGATATAGCTCCCATATATAACTTCGTCCGATTTACCTTTTATTGTGCACCAAACGTCTAATATTTGTCTAAATGGGATGGAATTTGGCACTTACGACAGAATTGAGTGTAGAAGCTAGTATGCCAAATTTGATCGAAATCGGTTCAGATATAGCTATAGCTCCCATATATATTGTTCATCCGATTTGTTATTTTTGTCCTCCAAAGCAGTAATATGCACTCCGTAACAACGATATTCAGGGAAATATATCAAATACAGTTCAGAAATATCTTTGCCAAATTTAATCGAGATCGGTTCCGATTTGGATATAGCTCCCATATATATCTTTTTCTGATTTCAAATTAATTGTGCACCAATTGGACAATACCAGTCCGAATTTAAAAGATACAAATGCTTCGGCATATTTAGTCCTTTGAACTTTAATTTATAATTATAATCATAGCGTGTATGATTGAATTGTCCCATAAAAACTTTTAATTGTTATGCGGAGCTCTACTAAATTAGCAAAGTGGTGTAGGGTATCATGAAGTGGGCCCCGCCCGACTTTAAGACTTTCTTTACTGGTTTTTTTTTAGAAAATGGCGTTTTCGCTTTTCAAAAATCGAACAGAGGATCGAAATGGGTTCATTTTTTTATAAAAATAAATAAATAATATTTATATTCAATACGTTTTCCAATTTCCTGTTTGGTTTGATTTTTAAGGTCTCGATTGTAATATTACTCATTTGGGAATATTTACATATGCCAACCTTTTATTTAAGATGACTTGCGATTTGTATTTTTTACTCAAGCCTCGCTGTTTTCAATTCTTAAAAGTTCTCTCAGTAACATTTATTAACATTTTTTTCATTGCAGCCAATCGTAAAAATTTACCAGGAGAATTAAATATAGAAGAACAAAACGAATACGAACAGGGTAACGAAGCAACAAATGCCCAAAATTACGATGATATCCCCGAAGATTATCCATTAGTTTCAGAACGTGCGGGTCATGGAGATCATTCGGTAATTATGAAAACCACAATACAAATAATGATTGCATAAATAAATCGCGCGATGTTTTTCTTTTTGTTCTTGCAAACAGGATAATTCCACAGATGAAAAACGTGTGCAATTTGGTAAAAAGAAAGCATCAGTTGTTACACCGCCCAGTCTAAGTTATGATGAACAACCCAACGACAATATACACGAACGTAAAAGAAGAAAAAGGTTTGTTTTGGCCTTTTTTGTGTTCTCTTTTTGTTTTCAAGATAAAAATAATACTAATTACCGTTAATTAGCTGATACACGTTTTGTTGTGTTCAAATACAATAATTGCTTAATAATTATTTTGTCGTTTGTTTTTTGTTTTGGTTTTTTTAGTCGAATACAGTATTATAGACAACGGAAATTTTCCCATCAAGACAGCGTGGAAGCCAAAAAAGTCACCGAAGAAAACGGCGATGCCGGTAATCACAAAATATCAGCACCGGAAGACGCGTCACTGGAGGTAAGTCAAGCCAGTGTTTTGTTTTCATATATTTTTGTATTTGTTTGTTTTGATATTTTTTTGGTAGATAGCTTGGTTTTTGGATAATTGTATTTTTATTGTTCCATGTATTTTGTGTAGTTTGAGCTATAGTAAATTAGTAATTTAAACGTAAATAGTGATTAAATGACACGAGGTAACACAAATTTTGGATGAATGTTAAATAAGTATAGGAGAATTTAAAAAAAAAATATTTGTATTGCACTTTTGTGTCTGATGAAGTGTAAGTATCTTGTCTTGAAAGATAGCACACTTCAATCTCAGACCCTTAGTCTTATGACCAAATAAAAAACTTTGGAGGTCATACACAAAAAGTTTTTTCTATAAGATGAACTTAGAATAGATTAGCCATAACACCCATATTTTTGCTTCAAACATGGTTAGAATTCGTCATTATCCTATCATCGCCGTTATCAGACATAATTTGTTTTGTTTTTTTTTTTTTTTTTTAACTTCATATAAGCTCGTCTTAGACAGCCTAGTATATCGAAATCATCTGCTTAGGGCTATTATATAAATCTTCAGTTTATGTGTGCTACTTTATTCACCTGTGCGTTTAGTTATAAGATACCTTGGTTGTATGATACGTTGGTCTTTGTTTGATATTGAAAGGCTTGGAAAGACGCTCTCCTAGTTCAAATACTAACCTTGCGTTAAGGTATCGTAACAATTTCGCAGGAATGCCGAATTCGGGCGGATTATGCATGCAATCGATTAGATTTCATTAGGCTTATGGGTCTTCTTGAAGATTTTGCGAGGATTGCAAATCAGACATTTATATTTGGAGGATTTGCCTGTATAAAACTGCTTTTGTAATTCAAACTTATTTTATTGAACTTTCTGGCGAAAACTTGCTCGTGAGCGGGAGTGTTCGAAGAGTACAAGTTTTATAGGAACCTTACTCCTCAATCTTTTGTTTTATGTGGGAGAGATCCCAAGTCAAAACGCTCGAAGTAGATTAAGAGTTTACCCTAAGAGTAAATCAAGGGAAGAAATTTGTTTTGTTTGTTGATTTCTTGTTGATTTGATGTTGTCGTGAACTGAAGGAGGGGGTGTGGTATGGCCGTGTAAAAAGTCCAAGAAGATCTAATAAAAAAACAGCTAAATTTGGCCGTGAAGAGCTTTTAATAAACTCCACCATTTTGAAGGATCTTGAAAAATTGAAAACAAGTAAAAAGCTGTAAGTTCGGCCGGGCCGAACTTTGATTACCCTCCACCATTTGGAACTAATTTGGCAATTCTCAAAAATAATAAAATCCGTTTAAAATACTGTTAAAATCTTAGAAATACCGAATGTTGCTGTTATATTATTATATTTGAAAGAATTCCGATGAACATTGTCCCTAAAATCATCAAAATATCGAATATCGGCAGGGCTCTACCAAAACGTGGACCTACATTGCCAATTTTCAATACCAAATGTCCTGCAGACATATTATACATTTGAGTACAATTTTATCAATCTACTTCAATTCGTTCGGAAGCTAAAGTGATTTCCACAGACGGATAGACGGACAGACGGACGGACAACGCTAAATCGACATATGCTGATCAATAATGAATAAACTTTGTGGGGTCTAAAATGTATATTTCGAGGTGTTACAAACGGAATGACAATCTTAATATACCCTCCATACTATATGGAGGGTATAACAACCGTAGAAAAATAACGTATGAATGAAGACTTGGACCTGCATACATATTTTTTTGTCAAAGGCTGTAGTACCGATTCCGAACTTCAAATACCAAATTTTAAAACAAGTAAGCAAAGGCTACAGTCGAGCGGGGCCGACCGTTGAATACCCTACAACACTATAATAAACCATACAGTTTATATAGGCGAGATACTCGAAAGAACCCCACAAGATATTGTGACATTTCCAATTTATTGGTATATGTCGCTGGAATGGACATTTTCGTATTAAGTCTACAAAAGTTGGCAAACTATTTCACACATTGAATATTTTTGGATGGCCATCCGAAACTGCTTGGCTTTTGCAATTTGCGGTAACCCCCATTCAAATGTGCGTGGGGATCGGGCGATAATTACGACCTGCTGACAATTTGTCAGTTTTTTGGTCCATTTCAGCCCCTAAATATATAGCGATCATCTCCAAATAGAGTAGGCTTCTATTCTGACCCTCATCTTATCCCCATGCAAAATTTCGTAAGGATCGGACCATAAATGCGATCTGTATATGATATCCTGATATCCTAACTACTTAGTTTTGTTAGCTGTAGAAATATTACTAAATGTTTAATTCAAAATGAAAATATGCAAAAAATATGACAAAATGGAAAAAATATGAGAAAATGTTACAAAATCAATATTTTCATCTTTACAGAGATATTTTTATGCGATTTTTTTAGACGTTTTTTCTTTCCTGCCAAGAGGCCATTCTGAATTAATGAGAACTGTCGAAATCAGTTCAGCCGTTCTCGACATATAAGACATTTTTCAAGCATATCTTCTTTGATAAACATATTAATCGCACATATTTTGCTATATATCCGTTTTGTTGGATGTTAACATCAATGTAAAGGTCAGAAGTAACCTTGTCATGACTTTGTGATTTCGCTGGGATTTAAAAAATTCGCGGTTTAATGAAAATTTTTGAATTTTTTCAACACAAAAGACATGGTCTATTTTACCCGCTAAATATTATCCGATGACCACCCAAATTGGTAGGCTTCTTCCCCGCACTAAACTCTAGCTACATGCGAAATTCCGCGTCGATTGGTCGATAATTGCGACCTGTATAGCTACTGCAAAATCCGACATTTTTTCAGTATTTGGTCCATTTCAACCCCTAAACATTTGGCGATCATCTCCAATAGAAATAGGGTTCTATTCTGACCCTAACCCCACCTTCGTGCAAAATTTCGTAAGGATCGGGCCATAATTGCGATCTGTAGAGTGATTACAAATTAACATGGACAGACGGACAGACGGACGGACGGACATACATAGCTAGATCGACTCAGCTCGGCGAGCTAGGAAGATTCATATATACTTTCCTATATGGGAAATCAATATTTCGAGGTGTTACATAATTTTTGGCCCAATCAAACTTATAATACCCCCAACACATAGTGTTGTAGGGTATAACAATTCCTAATATTATAAAAATACCGAATATAGCAGCACTCCCGCTCGAATTCTAGCAAGTTTAGCTCTTCACTCGAATTCGAAAGAGCATAAAAGTTAACAATTATGTAACACACTTTTTAAACTCATTACTTCATAATGCATGGGGCATGTAGTTGTCATTTTTATGGGCTATCGGTGATAGTCATTGAGGTTTCACTATACCCTCCACCATAGTATCTTTCGGACAAATTGACATAGTAGGCTAACATTTTGGCCACTTGTGTATTTTGCCAGTAGATAGATTAAGTTCGTACATGAATCATGTCGGTCCACGTTTACATATAGCCCCCATATAACGGTACCTACCAATATTCGGCATTTTGGCTTTGATTTTAGCTACATTTTGTTCCGGAATTGTTTCAAATAATCGTAATAGTTTGAATTACAATTGGAATTTTCGAATTTCAGCTGAAATAATGATTCGAATTACAATTAAAATATTTCGAATTGTATCTGAAGAAGGTGTAGTAATGCTCAAGGCAAAGCTTGGATTTGCATGATTTTACTTCGGGATGAACAGTTTTCGCGAGAGCTACTATAAGAATGAGATACAAGGAATCGATCGAGTTTTACTCTACTCGAATTCGAGCGAGCATCTCGGAGCTCTGGCTAAATATGACATACGTGGCTACCAACTTTTTGTACGATAGGATGTCGCCGTTCGCACAATACTGTTAGCAGAGGGTGTATGCTTTCGCGTATGCATTTCACGTCTTGTCTCCAATCCGCTTTATGTATCCATATGACTTCTTAAATCTTATATTCAATACAGCTAACATGCTTTTTTAGATCCTCAGTACACGGTTTGCATTTATTACCACATAACCTTCATCATCTTTGCAAGAAATGTGCCCGTACTATAAAAATTAGTCTAGTGTTTTTCTGTCCCCTACAGTCGTACCATGAATCTAAATTAAGAGAAATAGGGTAATACTTCCAAGGGCCTGCATCCTGTAATTCATGAAGTATCCTCGTAAATAGTTCATTCAGCATAACACAAATTTCTGACGTTATAACATTTCAAAAGTGGGATTTGCTAAGCGAATGTCAACCATAGCACTCACCTACTCATTTTTCTCGGGAGCGAAACTTGCTCGCGGGTAAGACAGCTCGAAGAGAGAAAGAGAGAGTGGAGGGGGCTGGAAGAGAGAGGTGAGGATGATCTTGTACAGAAAAATACACATACAGAAGTGTATAACAAAAACTTAAATAGATCTCGGCCATATTAGATTCTTAACGAGTCTGTTCTAATTCAAAAACATGGAAATATGATCACTCATATTCGAGCGAAATTGAAAAATAGAGTTTACTCAATTTTTTTGCTCCCAGGAGCGCACTCGCTCGAATTTGAGTGTGTTTCGCTCTTTGAACAAATTCGAGAGAGTTTTCAACGCTGAATGTAGAGATCAACAGCCTTTTTTTGATGATGATGATAGATTTTGCTAGTTTAAATAGATCAAATTTATTCTTTAACATAGTTTCGCATAAAGTTCTACTTTTTATATTATTTTTATTTTTTTATTTATGCAGACATATTTTTTATTTACCATATGTATTTATATTAGCCAATGTATTTATTTATGGGTATAAAAAAGCTAACTATATTACCATTTCACTTTTCTTTTTGTATTGCTTAACCTCAAACCTTTTTGCAAACCAAAGGCCCCACAGGTTAAGAGTTCTTTACAGCCCCTTTTATGACTTTGCAAAATAACTAAAAATTCTAATAATTCTTATAGGAGGCGGATCTTAATGAATTAAGATCACATCGTTCGGATGATCCTCGGGCATTGAGAAGGCACAAAATTCATCATTCATCCATTAAATTAAGGGAATTGCCACAAATAAGTGTGGCCGGATTACAGCAGCAAGCTAAAAAGGAATTCGATCACAGTCCACATGAAGTAAGTCTCAAGATGGCCGCTAATTTCGAGCTACGGATTTACATTCTATCATTTTTTTTTTTTTTTTTTTTGGAATTTCTAGATTTTTGTACAGCTTGATGAGCTTATGGGATCCGGTGAGGATCGTGAGTGGAAAGAAACGGCACGTTGGATCAAATACGAAGAAGATGTTCAAGAGGGCTCTGATCGCTGGGGCAAAGCTCATGTGTCTTCACTTTCATTTCATTCATTGCTTAATTTGCGTCGTTGTCTTGAAACAGGTGTTGTGCTTTTGGATTTAAACGAAAAAGACTTGCCAGCTGTTGCATATCGCGTTGTTGAACAAGTAAGTACAATGTGTCTTCATACAAATTTACATACATTCTTATGTATTTGCTAAGTCGATAAAGCAGCAAATGAAGATTTCATGAATTTGTCAAAATTGTATGCGTTCTTTTCTGAATCTGTTAAAAAATGAGCTTTTATAATTCATCCATTGTTGCTATATTATAGTAGATGGCGTTAGCAGTGTGAAACCAGTTAAGAAAGTCTAAAGGTCGGGCGGGCCGACTTTATGATACCCTACACCTCTTTGTATATTTTGAAGAGCTTCATATAACAAATTAAAACCAGTAAGGAAAGGTCAAAAGTCGGACGGGCCGACTATATGATACCCTACACCACAATGCGTATTTACTATAGCTCCCGTAGCCAAAAGGTTTATATTGGGAATTTATGTAAAGTAGATCATGATATGGCTTCGATAAGGAATATTTTAAAAAATATTTATTACAGCTATAGATATGCCGGACCCAGTTTCACCAAATTGTAAAATTCGGTTGAATATGAAAAAATCTATTCAAGTTGGGCTGATATTACAAATATATGGGGAGCAATATCCTTAAAATCGGATGAAAATGTATATCGAAGCTACGAACAATTTCTGAACCGATCTCGATAAAATTTGGCAGAAGTATTTTCGAGCAGTATCTGATGACCGGTATCAAATATCATTTTTGTGGAGTGAATACTATGCATGTGAGGGACTTAAAACTTCAAATCGGATGAAACATATATATGGGAGGTATAGCTATATCTGAACCGATTATCACCAAATTTGAAGCACTTACTTTTAGGCCGAAATCCGTTAGTAGAGTCAAAATTCAGCCCATCTGGGTTGATATTAACCATTATTTGCACAATAAATCTGAAATCGGATAAAAGATATATATGGGAGCTATACCCAAATCTGAACCGATAAAATTTGGCAAAGATATTCCCGAGCTCTATAAGATATCTGGTACCAAATATCATTGTTGTCGAATGCATATTACGAATGTGTGGGACTTAAACACCGGATGAAACCTCTATATTGAAGCTATAGCTATATCTGAACCAATTTTATCCAAAATTGATGTACTTGTTTCTAGACTGAATTCGGTCGGATGTACCAAAATCCAACACTTTTGGACTTATATTGCCCATTTGGTGCACAAATAACCCGAAATCGGTTGAAGATATATATGGGAGCTACATCAAAATCTGACCCGATCTTGATAAAATTTGGCAGAGGTATTTATGGGCTGTAACTGATATCTGGCACCAATTATGAAATATCACGTACTTGCTTCTAGACTCAATTCGGTTGGATGTGCCAAAATGTTGGTCATTTGGTGCAAAATTAACCTGAAATCGGTTGAAGATATATGGGAGCTATATCTAAATCTGATGCGATTATCACCAATTTCAATAGTATTCGTCCATGGGCCAAAAAACTATTGTTTGGAAAATTCCATCTCATTTGGATAATAAATGCGACCTGCATTTTGTTGACAAAAATACGTGGACAGGCGGACGGGCGGACATACGAAAAGAAACTTTCGAAAGTTATTCTATGAAGATCCTCGAAAGTAACTTTGGGTCTATCTCGCTTCCGTCTCCATGTTGTAAACAAATACACGAAGACATAATAACCTGACCACCTTGTGGTGTAGGGTATAAAAATGACATGTCAAAAATTGTAACCTATGGCTGTAATATCTCTATTGCATTTTCGCGATGCCATTGGTCATCGATGTCATAACAGGAGCATTTAAAAACAATATGTTTTTTGTTACATGTTCAGTGTTTTATTTCTTTGCTCAGGCTCAGAAATCCGGAAAATATACTAATTACAAATCAGGTTACCAACCCATTATTGTTTTACAAGAGCATATCCCACGAAATAAGTAGTTTTTTTCTGACCACTAAAAGTGTATAAATAAGTGCTTACTTATTCGACCATTAGTGACCTAAAAAATAACTACCTATATGTGTAAATTGTAAAACTAGAAGGTTCTAAAATGGAGCAAATATTGATCAAATAAACCCAAAAGTTTATAGAATGTAATGTTTACATTAAGATAATCACGTTTATTTCACGTACCTCAAATATACCCTCCGATAATTTATAATACATTTATAACAATTTCTTAACGCAATCTAATAATTCATTACTTTTATTCTCATTTGTAGATGGTTGTTGATGACTTAATCCACACAGATGACAAACCGGCCGTATTGCGTTCTCTACTTTTGCGCCATCGTCATGTCAACGAACACCAAAGTGGTTTTCCTTTTACCAAACGAAAGTACAATAGCTACACAAGTTTACAGGTATGTCTCAATATATCCTTTCACTGCACATACAGATGTAAGGGCTACGTACCTCCGCCACCTCATAATGAATAACAGGACATATTCCTGTGTGTGGGTGTTTGTGTTCGCCCACACCATACAATCCATTCTCATTGCTTATAATTAATAACAATATACATTTGCACTCATCGCCGTATACGTCCGTCTCTTACCGTACTCATTTATTTACATACCAATAACCTATAACATATATGTGTGTAGATATCCGTATGTCAATCATTCACCCATTGTATATAATCGTTGTTCGTAGACATATTTTCAAATGTTTCCTTTTCGCTTCAGTCGTCATAATTTGCCCATTTCCTTACACACACTTCACTCGGACTCCGAACATCAATTACCAGGATTAGACGTTCGTTTCTTTTCTGTTTCTTAAATCACACTCTTGTATTTTAATTTATTTAATTGGCTTTTTAATGGATTGCGTTATCTTGGTATGGGGTTATTATGGAACATTTTAATTACATGTACATCTTTTGTTCTGAAATGCATTTTATTTAAAGTTATAACTCTCTACTTATGGCCATGTGGTGCAAGCCAAAATTGTACAACGCTCTGAATATAATTGTTTTCTTTTCAAGAATCCTTGAACCAAAACAAATACTGTGTAAATGCAGCTTTTGTCGTATATATTACGACAGATAAATCATTTCTAACAAAAGTTCTGTATTTGCTACTATTACATGAGATGGAAATCGAAATTTGAGGTGTGTCTAATAACTTTTCCAGTAAAAATTACCCAGTAGTTTTATAAGAGATTTTTTTTCTCTCCAGTAATAATTTTTCAGCAAGAAAGCAGCTGCAAATTGTTAAGAATTCGAATTAAAATTCCATTTTTTTAATTAAAAACCAGTAAATAAAGTTTTAAAATCGGGCGGGCCTTTTCAATTCGGGCTTGTATTACTCATTTGGTGTACAATTAACATGAAATCGGATAAAGATATATATGGGAGCTATGTCCTCATCTAAACCGATCTCGATAAAATTTAGCAAGGGTATTTCTGAGCTGCATTTGATATATTTTCCCGAATATCTTTACTACGGAGTGCATATTATGGTTGTGCAGGACAAATACAACAAAACGGATGAACAATATATGTATGGAAGCTATATCTGAACCGATTTTCACCAAATTTGACATACTTGTTTCTAGACTCAATTTGGCCGTAAGCGCGTATATTTCGGGGTGTAACAAACGGGGCCTTACGAATAGGTATATCTATACAAAACAATGTTCTGTCTGAATTCCGAATTTTAAACAGTTCCGCTAGAAAACATGCCTTAATTCGTCGTAAAAATTCCCAAGAGATAAAGACAAGCTGGTACCACGGAAGGTCAAATCCATTACATAATCTTGATAGCTAATTTGAAACATTTCCATGGAAAATGTGGCGAAAATGGAAAAGACACCGAATATCGAGAGGTACCCTTCTATTAAGGGTATACAGAAATGTGGCCATATAGAGACCATTTATATATATGGGAGCTATATCCAAACAGCAGAGGTACATCTGGGTTGTATTTGACATATTTCTCCAAATATCGTTATTACAGAGTGCATCTTACGGCTACGGAGGACAAAAATAACAAATCGGATGAACAATATATATGGGAGCTATATCTGAACCGATTTCGATAAAATTTGGCATACTTATTTCCAGGCCTAATTTGGTGGTATGTGTAAAATTCCATACTATTTGGGCTGATATTACACATTTGGTGAACACTAAAGGCAAATCGGACGAAGATATATATGTGGGAGCAATATCTGAATTTTAACCAATTTGCTCCAATTTCAATAGGATTTTTCCTTTTATACCCTTCACGACAGAGAAAAACAAATCTTCACAAGTCAAAAAGCAGTACGTTCGGCTGGGCCGAACTTTGAATACCCTCCATCATTTGGGACGAATTTGGATTTTGTTAAATAAAAGCAAATAAAAAAACAGAATCCGTTAAATATTCTGATAAAATTCTAAAAATGCCGAATATAGGGAGTTACCCTTATTTTGGGGCCTATACGAAGACGTGCATAGGCAGTTATCTGTCACAGGCAGTAGTAGCCCTTGCGAAGTTCAAACACGAAATTGAAAACAATTTCGTTGAATAATATCGCTAAAATCATCAATATACCGATTTTCTGTCATAGGCAGATCCGGTAAATAATGTCCATAAAATCGTCAATATACCGAATATATGGAGGTACCATTATATGGGGCTATACGAAGACCAGGACCTGCATAGACAATTTTTTGTCTAGACGGTTGTACCCATTACGAAATGAAAATACGAAGTTTAAAATAATTCCGGTGAATAATGTCGCTAATATAATTAAAACGCCGAATATTGGGGTGTACCGTTATATCGAGCCATACTTAAACGTGGACCTATATAGCCCATTTGCAATACCAAAAGTCCAGCATTTAAGTAAAATGTTATCAACCTACTTCATTCGTAAGCCAGAGTGACGGACGGTCATCGTTGAATCGACATAAATTTGTATGCTGACCAATGTAGAGTCTAAAATGTATATTTCGGGGTTGTGACCATGCACAGAAAAAAAAGATAGACAGAAACGTAACAACAACGGCATGACAAAACTAGAAGAGTGCTGGACAAAAGTATAATCTGCTCGATTTTCACTCATATTCGAACGGTATCGAAAAATTGAGTTTGCTCGATGTTTTGCTACTCCTAAGAATGCTCCCGGTCGAATTCGAGCCAGTTTTTCGGAGGTCTGAAATTAAGTACCAAATATCTTGGGAGCACCACAAACGCTTATGCCAAATTGCATTCCACAAACGCTTATACCAAAATGTCTTAAATATTGCGACCTCTATCTTGGTTTCAACAAACATGCAGACATTTTTAAATCGACCTTTTATGTTTTTATATAGCCCCACATAACTTTTAGGATTTTAGGTGTTTTGATCACAATTTTGAACCATTGGTTGCAAATTAGCAGTTGGTGTTCTCAGTAGAACTGTCCACATGAGATCATATAACTACTCCTTTAAATAAAAGTTATTTTGATAGTCACTTTTTTCGATGTAATTATTTAACATTTGGTTTTTCATAATGGATACCACTTTCTATGACGGAGAATTACCTATACTGGCGCCCATCTTCTTACATCCCCTATATAGTGGTAACTTCCGATATTCCCTATTTCGATGATATTGGTCACATTTTTCAACGGAATTTGTCAAAATGTTTATGCACCGCCTTCTCTTGCATAAACCTGGCTATACTGGTCCACTACACACGTTCATATTGTGTATTTTAATAATTTTAGCGACATTTTTTGCAGCGGAATTCTCTAAAATTTTGCAAGATCCTTCCAAATGTTTGGGGGGTATTAAAAGTTCGGCCCTGCCGAAATGATCTTCTCTTTTACTTGTTTTAATTAACACTGGCCTCTCCGATTATTATGTAGTCTTTATATTTTCTTGTAAACTTCATGAATAATAACCCCTTTTTTTGGGAGGCAAGTTTATTTGGAGTACTTTCCACTTTTGGCTTGAACTAGTTGTGCATAAATTGTTCATATGAGTATTTATTTGAGTCATTTTAATTTTAATGAAATAAAAATCACAACGTATCACAAATATTCAGGTCGATCGATCTTGTAACGCCGTTTTAATAGTTTAAATTTTTAAGGTTGCAGACGTATTCTACAACAAAATTTCATTTTCAGTTCTCAAAAAAGACAAAATTCACCATTTTCCTAATTTCTTATGCTTTTAAAAAATGGTTTTTAAATACCTTCACGGAAGTTGATGAGTAGGATACATTCCTAAAACCCATTCTATACCCATTTCCATATATATTATAAAACTTTCTTTGTTTTCGTAGTAGTTGCTTTGTGGCAGATCTCTCAGAACCCATACTGCAGGGAAGAGATCACCTCAGATGTGCATATATAAAAAATGTGGACCGGTTAAACTCAAGTTTATTTAATAGCCTAAAACATTTGGGCGCCAAACATATATTTAGTGCTTAGTATTGAATTTAATTAATTTACATACTTATTTTCAAGAATCTCACAACGTTTACACTTGAATTCATTCATGTGCCCCTTTCTTGTCGCTTACCTTTCACACACACACACACGTCACGACTTCATACCTAGGATTATTCTCTCACTTCAGTTCATATTTCGTTTAATATGGTGATCCTTTTCTTTCTTTCTTTTTTAATTAAATCCATTTTTTCACATACCTATGTAATTGTGGTGATAATCTAAATGCAAAAATCAATACAAATAAAATATGAAATTCTTGACGTGTGAAATATTTTAAATATTGTTGTTGATAAACCGCAACAATGAACTTTCCAACAAAACACACCCAACTCATCATCCAGTTGCTTTTATTGGGAAGTGAAAATAATAACCAACAACAATTGCAGTTGCAACAACGAATTCGAATAAATGCATCCAACGCACCGGCACGTCGTTCAATCTGTGAAACACTGAGTGCACCTCCAGCGACAGCAGTCACTATTGAGGCATCCTGCCGTAGACATTCCACACTGTCCTACATGGGTGTAAATGTTTTGAAATAACAACCTAGAAATTAAAAAAAAAAAAACAAAACTAACTAGCAAATGCTTCTTCTTCTCCTGTTTTGCCTGTTTAGTTAATTTATTGTTATAATGTTTTTGTAAATAGTTGTTTTCAATTATTGTTTGATTTTCAAAATTTTTTTAGTTCAATTGTTTCTAATTTTATTTTGAACTTTACACTGAGCACCCAATTTTATTTGGCAATTTGCAGAAGTACATTTCAATTTTTTAAATGACAAATTCGTTGCATATTTTTTCTATCCGACTAAGGTTAATTTACACATGTCCGACTTTCCATAGTTTTATTAAGCAATTTATTCTATATTTTTACTCTCAATATATTAAGTTGCACAGAACTCCAAAGCATAGACAAATGAAAATATAGACAACGAAAAGTTAGTTTTGTCTTTTTATCCAGGTGGCTCTCATCATGTTTTGCATAGTCAACATGCTGATTTACGCGTTCAAGCCACTCGACTTCGAAAACACATTTTATCGTTTTTCAAGAATTTCACTGGAATATTCCCATATTTTTCGATGTCATCACGTACTTTTCACATTTCTTTTATTATGAAATAATTTTCAGCTGACAAATATCCTACAGTTTTTGTTATTTTTAACATTTTTGAATTGAGTGACTTCAAAATTCCCACTCAAACCCCTGAAACGATATGGACGACATCTGCTGATCCGATTTTTTTCGAAGATAAACGGTGAGAGCATTTCGTTGTCTATATTTTCATTTGTCTATGTCCAAAGTGCATCTTTGAATTTTAAAAATTATGGTGGGCGCCTAAAAATATGCTTTCAAAATGTTGAATGTAAATATGACGAAGTCCATAGACAAATGAAAATATAGACAACGAAAAGTTAGTTTTGTCTTTTTATCCAGGTGGCTCTCATCATGTTTTGCATAGTCAACATGCTGATTTACGCGTTCAAGCCACTCGACTTCGAAAACACATTTTATCGTTTTTCAAGAATTTCACTGGAATATTCCCATATTTTTCGATGTCATCACGTACTTTTCACATTTCTTTTATTATGAAATAATTTTCAGCTGACAAATATCCTACAGTTTTTGTTATTTTTAACATTTTTGAATTGAGTGACTTCAAAATTCCCACTCAAACCCCTGAAACGATATGGACGACATCTGCTGATCCGATTTTTTTCGAAGATAAACGGTGAGAGCATTTCGTTGTCTATATTTTCATTTGTCTATGCGAAGTCTCTTTACCATAAACAAATAAAAGCATGGACCAGTATTTCACAAAGTTTGGTATGAGAAAATATTTTGTAGGCCGCGAAATTAGAGACGGAATAGAACTTTCTTTAGCTAAACGCAACCGAAGGTGCAAATACTACATCTGTGTTTTTGAAAGCTCTGCCTCTCTGACATTCCAAAAAGCTCAAGTATCGAATGCACAATATAGCCAGTCTCAATATTAGACCTAACAAAGTATATATATTTTTGATTGGTGTAAACTTCTAAGACGATTTAGGTATATCCGTCCGTCCGTTCGTCTGTCCGCTAGAGTCAAAACAAATTAAGATAGGAATCTGAAATTTTGCAGAGATCAGTCTTTTGTGTGCAGGCAGGTCTAGTTCGAAGATGGGTTATATCGGTCTTCTATATCGTATAGACCCCATATTACGGCCCAAATTCGGAATATTGATTCCACATTTTTCAATGGAATTCTACACTACTTTACCGCCTGTAGGAGAATTGTTTATATAGGTCTACCACTTCGTATACCTCCCATACAACGGTACCTCCCGATATTTGATATTTTGATGATTTTAGCCAAATTTTTCAATGAAATTGCCTAAATTATACACAAGGAGTCCTTTATGTGTACTTTAACGCGTGCAGGAGAATCGCTTATATAGGTCTACTACTTCGTATACGTCCCATATAACGGTACCTCCAGGTATTCGATATTTTAATGATCTTAGTCACATTTTTCAATGGAATTGCATGAAATTCTACACAAGGAGTCCTCCGTGGGTACTTTGCCTCCTGGAAGAGAATTGTCGACATAGGTCCACGTTATCGTATAGCCCCCATATAACAGTACCCCCATATAACAGTACCGCCTTCGTATAGCCCCCTTTATTCACAGAAATTGTTTTGAATTTCGTCTTTGAAGTTCCTGATTGGCACTTCAGTCTATGAAAGAAAACTGCCTATGCAGGTCCAGGTCTTCGTATGGTCCCCATATAACTGTACCTCCCTATATTCGGTATTTTGATGTTTTTGGCGACATTATTAACCGGAATTTCATATTTCAAGTTCCTCATGGGTACTTCAGTCTATTACAGAAAATTGTCTATGCTGGTCCAGGTCTTCGTATAGTCCATAAATATCGGTACCTGCCAATGTTCGGTATATTGATGATTTTAGCGGCATTATGCAGCGGAATGGTTTTAAAATTCGTATATGCACTTCGTGATGGGTACTACAGCCTGTGACAGAAACTGCCTATGCTGGCCCTGTTCTTCGTATAGACCCCAAAATTACGAAAACTTCATATATTCGGTATTTTTAGGAATTTTTAACGAATTCTATTTTTTATTATTATTTTTTTTTAATTTCCAAAGTCGCTCCAAATGGTAGGAGTTATTCAGAGTTCGGCCCGGTCGAACTTACTGCTTTTTAACTTGTTTTATTTTCATTGTCAAATTTATATATTATTGTTCTTCCTTAAATATGGGCATACAGCTGGCAAGAATTTTGCATTTATTTCAGAACATATTTTTGTTCTTTTCACACCTTTAGAGGGTGTAAAGTCAAGTAAGATTATAATCTAAAACAGAAAACTAAAATACATATTCTCTAGAATCTCCAAAATGTGCATAAAACTGTTACTCTTTTTGGGAAAGGGTTTCAAAAGTGTTTCAGCTGTAATTTGAATCCTTTCACCCTCCTCCTTTCCTCCGTAGAAAGGAAGGAAGGTACACCATGGGAAGGAAGGTACAAAAATGGAAGGTACATTGAACTAAAAGTTCTAAAATGCTGTTCTCATAGCTCGTAATGGGTTTTAGCAACTATGGCAAAACCTTGTGTGTTAAGGACCACGTTTACCTATAGCGCCATACAACTGTGTCTCCCGATATTCAGTATTTTAATCATTTTCTTTTAACAAAAGGTCTAAAACTAAAGGAAAACTGCAAGAGGTTCCCTATCGATATGATTCCTATCTTTAAAAGACCCCCAGAAGCCATTATCTGAAGAGAAGCACCAAAAAATCGTCCACCTATAGAAGACCATAAAAATATATTCTATCTCCAAAAGAATCCCCAAAACATTGTCTATGCAAATGTTTTTGGAAAACCCCTATAGAAAGCTTTAGTATCGAAACCAGCCCCAAAACCCACTCTATATAGAGAACACTTTCTTTTCAATTTATTTACCCAATTTTGTTTTTATTGTTATATTTTATTTTTCATTATTAACAAAACACTCTGCTGTATACTTTTGCTTTTATGTTGTTATTGCTGCACGATTCTTCTGTTTGATTTCTAATTTTAACCTGTTGTGTCCTTTTTTCTCTCTCCCTCTCTCCCACTCTTTCCCCTGGATGTACTGGTAATTTACTAATACTATCCATATTTTCTTTTTAAAACTCTTTCTGTGCAGAATCTTTCCGGTGATGATAAGAAAATTAAAATTATGCCCGCCCTAGAAATTGGAGGCAGCAAGAAAAGCAATGATTTGAAAATTGATATGAAGGACGATATGTACTCATCGTCACAGGAAGACCTTAAGAAACTACAAAATGATACCATCCTCAAGAGGATTCCTCAGGGAGCAGAAGCCACAACGGTCTTGGTATGTATTTCAAATGACTTGTAAAGTCCATAGTATTTAGTGAGCGGAATTTTAATTTGATGAATTGTTGTTGTAGGTGGGTGCTGTTGATTTCTTGGAACAACCAACCATTGCCTTCCTGCGTTTGGCAGAAGGTGTTCCAATGCCAAGTCTAACAGAGGTACCCATTCCCGTTCGTTTCATGTTCATTCTGTTGGGACCACCCAATTATGACTTGGATTATCATGAAGTGGGTCGTGCCATTGCCACTCTCATGGCCAACGAATCATTCCACGGCATTGCCTATACAGCCGATGATAGAAAAGATTTACTCTCGGCCATAAATGAATTCTTGGATGATTCGATTGTTTTGCCACCGGGTAATTGGGACCGTCATGACTTGTTGCCATTCGAAGAGCTGAAAGCCAAGAAAGACTGGATTCGTTCGCGTAAGACCAAGGCTCTCCAGAACAAGAAAGAGCAAAAAGAAAAGCAAATCAATAACATCGGCACTGATCTAATAAGTGCTTTGGTCGAGAAGAAACCGGATGATGACGATGATGATGAAAAGAAAAAGCCAAGTCCCTTGGAAAAAACTCATCGCTTGTGGGGTGGTCTACGTAACGATTTAAAGCGTCGCTTGCCCATGTATCGCAGTGATATTCTGGATGGTCTGAACACTGAAACTTTGGCCGCAACGATATTCATGTATTTTGCATGTCTCTCTACGGCCATTACCTTTGGTGGTTTGGCTTCGGACAAGACCCACAATTTGATTGGTATATCGGAGACGCTGTTGAGCGCATCCGTTGTAGGTGTTATATTCCACTCCCTGGCTGGTCAACCTTTGGTAATTATTGGAACAACGGGACCGCTATTGCTGTTCGATGAGGCCCTAAATAACTTTTGTAAGGAAAATGGAATAAGCTTTTTAACCATACGAGCCTATATTGGCATATGGTTGGCAGTTATCTCAATTTTGGTCTCGGCATTCGAGGGAAGCGTTTATGTACGTCTCCTGACTCGTTTCACACAGGAAATATTCTCGGCTCTTATCACGCTGATTTATATTGTGGAGACCATTATGAAACTTGTATCGGTGTATAAGAAACATCCCCTCCTGGCTGATTATAATTTACCACCTCCGACAATGGTCGGTTCTTCCGCCTTGGATAGGGGCAATGAAACCGTCTTGGGTTTGGAAGATTCATCCAGCTTGGAAGGAGCAAATTTGACAACGAATGCCAACACAACAGTGGATTATGGATCTCTTTCTCCCTTGAATATGCCCAATACGGCGTTATTTTGTACCATCCTCACATTGGGCACCTTTACAGTGGCCTACTATCTGAAGCTGTTCCGTAACTCACACTTTTTGGGACGTAATGCCCGTCGTGCCCTGGGTGATTTTGGTGTACCAATTTCCATAACGATATTTGTTATGGTTGACTATTTCATTCCGCAAGTCTACACCGAGAAGTTAAGTGTACCCGAGGGCATTTCACCCAGTGATCCTGTTAATCGCGGTTGGCTGGTTAGTTTGGGTCCCGTTGAAACCTGGTTGCCATTCATGGCTGGCATTCCCGCCCTCTTAGTATACATTCTCATTTTCATGGAATCACACATATCCGAATTGATTGTTGATAAACCAGAAAGAGGATTAAAGAAAGGATCTGGTCTGCATTTTGACATTGTCCTTCTGTGTTGTCTGAATATGCTTTGCGGATTCTTTGGCATGCCATGGCATTGTGCTGCAACTGTGCGTTCGGTGGCTCATGTCTCTGCCCTTACTATCATGTCGAGGTAAGTTGGGAGAAAACCAAATATGTTTCATCTATGTGTTCAAGCAATAAATTGCATTCCATCAATTTGCAGAACCCATGCTCCCGGTGAATCTCCGAGAATTATTGATGTCAAAGAGCAACGGCTATCTGGCTTCTTTGTATCCCTGATGATTGGTTTGTCTGTTACCATGGCACCCTTGTTGCGTCTCATTCCTATGGCTGTGCTGTTTGGTGTGTTCCTTTATATGGGCGTTGCTTCGATGAGTGGTGTCCAGTTCTTTGATAGGTGAGTAACGAATATTGGGTTTTCTACGAATTGAAGTTACTTAATGCCGAAAGCCTTTAATATTTTGCCGAGAGAATATTTTATCGGTTTTTTTATTTTTGTATTTTTTACAAATATAATTTTTTTTCATTGAAAGACGTTTAAAAAACCACCAGAACCTTGATATTTTGTTGGCAATTCCAATAAAATCTTAAAAATATCAAGATTTGTCCCGAGGAAATTTTTAAAAAATTCACGATTTTTGGACTAGGAAATCATTATTATATTCTTTAAATAAACTGCAAATTTAGAGGGTGTTGAACATTTTTTTTTTTCTTTAAAAAACTCTGTACGACAAAACTAATTTTTTTTTGTCAATAATTGAGTGGAAAATTTTGCAGATTATGAAATTAGAGTTAAAAATTTAACTGTTTTTAAAAGTGCAACCATTTCTAAACTGATGTCTTTTTTTTGCTTTTTCAGAGTGAGATTATTCTTTATGCCCGTAAAACATTATCCGCCAACGCCGTACGTTAAGAAAGTTCCTACCTGGAAAATGCACCTGTTTACGACCATACAAGTTTTATGTCTGGTTGTACTGTGGGCTGTGAAATCCTCAAAGATATCGTTGGCGTTCCCCTTCTTTTTGGTAATGATGGTACCGATTCGTATGAAATTAGCAGCAATGTATAAGCCTCATGAAATTGCAGCGGTAAGTTAAGAAAATTGTGAAAGTTTTATAAAAAAATATTTCCTACATAGCTGTTTACACTGAAGTCATAAATGATAGGTATAAAGTAGACATTTATCGAAGAAATTGTCTTTGAATTTTAATATACTTATGAATATACAGACAATGAAACAAAAACTGGTAAAGGAGAGTTTTTGAAAATTCGTACCAAAAGGGTACGAAAAGCAGTTGAATGATGCTCAACAACTAAAATGGTACCATTTGGTATTTTTGTGACAGGATTGAGCTAAAAATTTGGTATGGGAGTCAAGGATGAAAAGTAGAGTAAGTTTACCAGTAGTCGGCACTTTTAGAATTTTGAATTTTTCAATCTTTCAACATTCTGAGTGAAATCTTTCAATTGCAGAAAAATAAAGTTTTTCAGATTCCAAATTTAGTTTACTTTTCGAAATAATAAACAACAATTGAATTTGTTTTTATTAAATTGACAAAATGTACAATTTTACCAAAATAGAAGTATTTTGCCAGTAGTCGGCATTATTATTGTATATTTATATTTGTAAATAATGCTGTATTACTAATTCACAGAATTTGAAATTAATTTCGTTTTTAAATAGTGTTTTATTTAATTATCATTCTAAACCAAATATATGTAGAAAATAAAGAATAGTATGGTTACCTTCAGTAACGTATGGATTTTCAATTAAAATAAATAAAAAAGCAAAAAATACCATTCTTATATTTGGAATTTGTGAATTGATCTTTTTCCTTTGGATATCCAACATTTTTTTCAAAAAATGCCACCGCTGTCTAAATCGTCAAATAGCTGATTTAAAAAACCTACTTAATTTAGAAAAGTTGGTCAAAAAGCACAAATAAAAGCAACTGCCGACTCAAAACTAGTTTTTTATTTGAGTAGTTATTAGATTATTTTTTAGTACTTTTCTCAAGTTTTGGTGAAATTGGTCAAATATGATATTTTTCTAGTAATCGACACCCCTGCCGACTACTGGCAAATCTCTTTTTTTTTCTGTTCCTAATGTCGGCATTAAATGATATAACAGAAAAATGCTTGACTTGTATTTTTTAAGTTATAAAATGATCTTCAGACTGTTATTTACTATTGTAAAATATTTCTGATTCCAAAAGTATTAAATTTAATGTACTTAAATTGATTATTAAGTTGACGCCACCACTATTTTTTCTTTACAAACAAGCACTTCGCACGCATTGGAAGACACTCACTGACGAAAACCGTTATTCTCTCGTAATAAATGATCGGAGCTCATTGTTATACCCTACAACACTATGTGTTGGGGGTATTATAGGTTTGATTGGGCCAAAAATTATGTAACACCACGAAATATTGATTTCCCACATAGGAAAGTATATATGGATCTTCCTATCTCGCCGAGCTGAGTCGATCTAGCTATGTATGTCCGTCTGTCCGTCTGTCCATGTTAATTTGTAATCACTCTACAGGTCGCAATTATGGCCCGATCTTCACGAAATTTAGAATGGAGGTGGGGCTAGGGTCAGAATAGAACCCTATTTCTTTTGGAGATGTTCGCCAAATGTTTAGGGGTTGAAATGGACCAAATACTGAAAAAATGTCGGATTTTGCAGTAGCTATACAGGTCGCAATTATAGACCAATCGACGCGGAATTTCGCATGTAGCTAGAGTTTAGGGCGGGGAAGAAGCCTACCAATTTGGGTGGTCATCGGATAAAATTTAGCGGGTAAAATAGACCATATCTTTTTTGTTGAAAAAATTCAAAATTTTTCATTAAACCGCGAATATTTTAAATCCCGGCGAAATCACAAAGCCATGACAAGGTTACTTCTGATCTTTACATTGAAGTTAAGATCCAAAAAATCGAATATATAGCAAAATATGTGCGATATATATGTCTATCAAAGAAGATATGCTTGAAAGATCTCATATATGTCGAGAACGGCTGAACTGATTTCGACAGTTCTCATTAATTCAGAATGGCCTCTTGGCAGGAAAGGAAAAACGTCTAAAATGCGCATACAAATATCTCTCTAAAGATGAAAATATTGATTTTGTAATATTTTCTCATATTTTTTCCATTTTGTCATATTTTTGGCATATTTTCATTTTGAATTAAACATTTGGTAATATTTCTACAGCTAACAAAACTAAGTAGTTAGGATATCAGGATATCATATACAGATCGCATTTATGGCCCGATTCTTACGAAATTTTGCATGGGGATAAGATGAGGGTCAGAATAGAAGCCTACTCTTTTTGGAGATGATCGCCATATATTTAGGGGTTGAAATGGACCAAAAAAACTGCAAAATTGTCAGCAGGTCGTAATTATCGCCCGATCCACACGCACATTTGAATGGGGGTTACCGGACATTGCAAAAGCCAAACAGTTTTGGATGACCATCCAAAAATATTCAATGTGCGAAATAGTTTGCCAAATTTTGTAGACAAAATACGAAAATGTCCATTCCAGTGACTCTTTGGAGAATTCACAAATACAGGAAAGACGCATTTCTGACTATTTTGTTAACTCTGATTTCGTGGAAGAATATAGTCAAATGTCTGTATCTCATATAGATGCGTTACAGTCAAAAACCAATAATAAATGTTAATCTTTTGCCACATCTGAGAGATTATAGGTCTTTGGGAAATATTGGTTCCAGATCTAGGAAGACCATTTAAGTGCAACATCTACCAATTAATTGGAAATGAGCAAATTAGTTTAAGTTGCTATTATTCGAAAATTAGAGAACGAAACCTGATGGTTTTCTTTTATTATTTGTTACAATATCTTGTGGAATTCTTTCGAGTAAGGTATTCAACGGTCAGCCCCGCTCGACTGTAGCCTTTGCTTACTTGTTTTTTTTTTTTTACAGAAAGAGAGCAGAGAACACTGTTGACGTTTTTTTGCAATTATTTCATTATTTGGTCAATTCTATTCTTAGTTATTTAAGATTAAATTTCAAAACTGCCGACTACTGGGACATGCCGAACTTAGGCGCACTTACCCTACATTTGATATATGAATGTGGTTTTGGAAATGTCTACTAATTGTGCGAACTGTACTAAGTGGTACTAAATTTGGAACTGTTTGGTTTGGGTGAACGGATGGAGCTGACATTTTGAAATTTTGTATTGGGGTCCCTGTTAGAAATAGGTTTGTGATAAGAAGGTGGATTTGAAACTGTGTTCTTTAAGTGTACGAAAATTACTAAATAGCACTTAATTTGGTACACTTTGGTATTGGCTGATCAGATAGTGTTTGAAATCTAAAATTTGGTATTAGGGTCGCTGTTCATGTGTAGCCTAGACAGATGGAGGTGGTTTTCGAAATGTGTGCTATTATTGTACGAAAGGTACTAAATAGTACTAAATTTGGTATTGGGTGAAGGAATTTCGATATTGAGGTCACTGTTGGTATGTAGGGTTTACATATGGAGACTTTGAAGTAGTTTTGGACAGAAAAATTGAATGTAGCTCCATTGTGCAATGGTTTTACTATTATCCTCTTCAGTAAACTTCAAAAAGAAAGCTGTAAAAGGTAAACATTTTCCTATTATTCTTTTCGGTCCAATACAAACTGTTGGAACGAATCTAAAATTTTAAGGTGGGTTTTTCGCTGACGAATTAGCGGGCAATTTCTAGTCTTAATATATTTCCACAAAATTTAAAGGAGGTGGTTTTATGATGAATATAAATCATCGCTCTAGAATGTATGACACACATACTTTCTTCTACACTAAACTCGGTCGTATGTGACAAAATCTCTCACAATGTGAGCTGACAAATAAATAGGATGAAGATATTTGTGGGGTTAAATTCTAATCTGAATCGATATCGACAGGGTTTGTGTAAAGGTATTTTTAATTTGTATCTGATATCTTGTTATCGGAAATAATTGTTACAGAGGGCATATTTCGTGTTTGGTCGACTTAAATATTAAATCGGACGAAACATATAGGCTATCTAGGCTGTAGCATGAGCCAAATTGTATCTTGTTTGGGCTAATATTACCCATTAGATGCATAATAATATTGAAATTCGACGTAGATATATATGGGGGCTATACATAAATTTCAACCGATTTTTGGTTTGGCATGGCATTTGTTGCTTTTGCTTATATAATACACTCGCCCCTTTCTTCTGCTGTTTTTCTCCACCAGGCTTTTGCGGTACATCAATACCTTTTTATACCCACCACCATAGTATGGAGGGTATATTAAATTTGTCATTCCGTTGTAACACCTCGAAATATAAATTTAGCGATGTCCCCCTCTGCCTTTCTGTCCGTCCGAAATGAAGTATGCTGATTTTATTTACATGTGTTTTACGTCTGCAGGACCTTTCGTATTGAAAATTGGGCAAGTAGGTCCACGTTTTGGTATAACCCCAGATTTAAAGTGTTCTGATTGTTTTAGTCACAATTTAAACCTAATTTCCCGGCATGAAGGCAAACTTTTTGCATAGAACTGTTTCTAAGGTCCATGTTTTGTAATAGTCACCATATAACTGTATCTCCCGATATTCAGTATTTTGATGAATTGTGTCACACTTTTAACCAGAATTGTTTCAAATTTGGTATTTAGGGTTCGTAATAGATACTACATACTATGACAGAAGATTGCTCATACAGGTCTACAACTTCGCATAGGCCCCATATAACGATATCTCATAAAAATTCGGTATTTTAAGAATTTTAGCTATATTTTTAACCAAAATATCTCAAATTTGGTATTTGTAGTCGAAATAGGCACCACTTTCGTATATTTTGATGATTTTAGTTATGTTTTTTCAACAGAACTATCACTCAGTGTTGGAAGTCGTAATAGCCGCCAGCTTTTCTCGCAATTTCATGTAGCCCCACATATCTGTAACACCTGATATTCGGAATTTTTAAAATTATAGTGGATTATTTTTAACATTTTTCATGTTCTTTCCAATTGATGGAGGGTACAAAAAGTTTGACCCGGCCGAACTTAACTGCTTTTCCACTCTTATTTTTAAAAGCAGGAGGGTTGACTTAATCGATTATGCCGAATTATTCGTTTCAGATTTAGTACAGTTCCCATATTCATTTCCCTCCAAATATATTTAATGATTCATCATGGCACATTTTTTAAAATAAAATAAATGTTCCGTCATGCAATCAAGAGCGACTGGAATAAACTCTGCCAAGTTTGGACCATATAGGTTTAGCTGTAGCAATAGTTTCGAAATATGTCTGATCCGTTTTAGAGGTTTTTGTTTGTTTGTTATTGTTGAAGATTCAATCAGTTGATTACTTAAGGGCGAAGATAAAGGACACTTGGTCGAAAACAAACTTTTAAAGTATCGGGTATTCTCAAGTCAATGAGAATTATGCTCTCTTTTCATAAAAAAATTGCAACTACCAGATCATACTTTGTTTAGATCATTGCTCTCTGTAATATGAGGTTAATCAAATGGGGGAATACTCCTATTTTAAGGGTCCCCATAATATACATTCTACAGCAATAGCATTCGATATGAGAGATCACATACGTGACAGAAATACCTATGTTAAATTTGGAGGATTACATAAGATATATTCGGAAATAAGTAACATAGACGATTTTTGCCAAATGACAGCCTGAAGTATCCAATTTATAAATCACCATATATTTATAGATTTAATACATTTACAGTTTTATTTGTTTGCTTGAATTCACATTAATCCCTTATTTTTTATTTCAGCTGGACGGAAGTGAAGCCCAGGCCGATGAAGATGAACCCGATTTCTATGAAGAGGCAACCATTCCAGCCTAGATATATTTTATTGTTAAAACTCCTCATAAATCCCTTCGACTAGAACTAGAAAAATGCACAAATTTTGTTGTTATTGTTGGTAATTTCGACAAACACTTTAAGAGAAAATAAAAGAAAACAAACAAAAGAAATTACAAAATAAATAATTTATTGTTAAATTCTCGAGAAAACTATTAGAATGAAACTCTACGAGTATGTGAAATACTGGTTGCAATTGCAACATGTTTTAGCCTAAATGTAATTAAGTACTTACATCTGTTAGCATGTACTAAATATAGATAAACAAATTTCAATTATTCACACAAAATACACTCACACACACACACTTAAATCTTTTTAAAACTGTAAAATTAGCACCCCTAAATTCAAAACAAAAGAAATAACTAAAATATTTTAATAAATCTTGTTATTACAAATGTAAACTTCAAAAGAAAAGTAAAAAAATAACTTAAAAAAATTAAACTTTGTGAGCTTTATTACTAAAAGTATTAAATCTATGTATGTAAAATTATAAGAAATAATTTTAATATCTTTAAAGCATAACGAGCAACCATTGTAAATTTACACATAAATACGTACTTACTGTAAATCGTTTATGTTTTGTATTTAGGTTTTTGTTTCCTCTATGTATAAATTCCTATTTATTTGTTATATATATGTAAAAAAAATAATAGTCGCAAACAATACTTAATAAAACAGATTAAATAAAATAAAAATACAAAATACGAAAACAATATCAAACACTTGAGACAGACAAAGAAATCGCCGTGCTCATTAAATGTTCAAATTTGCTGCTAAAGCCTTCTATGTGATTGTGTACTTAAATATCAGGTTGGGATACAATACAAAACAAAAACAAGACAACAAAATGAGAAACTATTTTAAGAAAAATATACATTCTTTACAGAGAGTAGTATATACATGAACAGAACATACTTAAATATTTACAATAGACATATATCTTAGCATAAGTATTGAATTTGCATGCAATATCAACGAATTGACAAATGTGTAACCCCTAGATAATTTCCAATACCAGCACTCGAATCTAAAATTGAATCTTGGTACCCAGTACAATAAGTTTTAGTTTCTCCTATTTCAATTATGTTTTTCTTCATATCTGTGAAGAGTAGAACTGCAGAGTCGACAGATGTTTAGTTAATTTTTTGTCAGAATAAAAATCCTAACAGGTATTTCGCACATCAAACGTTCCCCGGCGATTCTTTCAAAACAAACGATACAGCTCGGCAACTCACAGCCGAAGTACATCAAAGCAATCGTATTGTTTGCATATTTCTGGAAATGTTTGTGTTTTTATACCCTACACCACATAGTGGTAAGGGTATTATGTCTTTGTGCATTTGTTTGTAACATGGAGAAGGAAACGAGATAGACCCATAGTTACTTTTGAGAACCTTCATAGAATCACATTCTGAGTCGATTTATGCATGTCAGTCCGTCTGTCCATGTATTCTTGTGAACAAAATGCAGGTCGCATTTATTATCCGATTGAGATGAAATTTTCCAAACAATATTTTTTTGGCCCAAGGACGAACCCTATTGAAATTGGTGAGAATCGGATCAAATTTAGATATAGCTCCCATATATATCTTCATCCGATTTCGGGTTAAATGTGCACCAAATGTCCACTATCAGTCCAAATTACCTGAATTTTGGCACACCCAACCGAGTTCGGTCTAGAAGCAAGTATATCAAATTTGGAGAAAATCGGTTCAGATATAGCTATAGCTCCCATATATATCTTTCATCCGATTTGATCTTTAAGTCCCTCACATTCCTACTATGCACTCCACAACCATGATATTTGGTACCAGGTATTAGATGCAGCACAGAAATAGCTGTTTTAAATTTTATCGAAATCGGTTAAGATTTGGATATAGCTCCCATATATATCTTCATCCGATTTCGGGTTAATTGACCACCAAATGGCCAATATAAGTCCAAATGGCCCGAATTTTCGCACGTGTGACCGAGATTAGCCTTAAAGCAAATACAACAAATTTGGAAAATCGGTTCAGAAACAGCTATAGCTCTCATATATATGTTTTACCCGATTTGGTGTTTAAGCCTCTCACATTCGTAATATGCACTCCACAAGAATGATATTTGGTACCAGATATAAGATACAGCCCAGAAATAGCTGTTCGTAATTTTATCGAAATCGGTTCAGATTCGGATATAGCTCCCATATATATCTTCATCCGATGTCGGGTTAATTGTGCACCAAATGGCCGATATAAGTCCAATTGGACTGAATTTTAGTACATCGGACCACATTCTGCCAAGAAGCAAGTATATCAAATTTAGTGAAAATCGGTTCAGATATAGATATAGCAACCATATATATGTTTCATCCGATTTAGTGTTTTAGTCCCTTACATTCGTAATATTCACTCCACAACAGTGATATTTGGTTCCAGGTACTAGATGGAGCACAGGAATAGCTGTTTTAAATTTTATCGAAATCGGTTCAGATTTGGATAAAGCTCCCATATATATCTTCATCCGATTTCGGGTTGAATGTGCACTAAATGGTCAATATCAGCCCAAATCACCTGAATTTTCGTACATAAGACCGAATTCAGTCTAGAAGCTTATACGTAAAATTTGGAGAAACCCGGTTCAGAGATAGCTATAGTTCGTAAAATGAACGATAGAATTAGATAGATTTTGATTTTGTACCAAATACCTCATAGAGCTCTGAAATGCCCTGTATAAACTTTTTTACGAGAGCTCTACTAAATATGCATAGTGGTGTAGGGTATCATATAGTCGGCCCCGCCCGACTTTTGAGCTTTCCTTACTGGTTTTGTTTTGTTTTTTATACCCTACACCACAAGGTGGTCAGAGTATTATGTCTTTGTGCATTTGTTTGTAACAGGCAAAAGGAAACGAGATAGACCCATAGTTCCTTTTGATGATCTGCATAGAATCACATTCTGAGTCGATTTATGTATATCCGTCCGTCCGTCTGTCCATGTATTTTTGTAAACAAAGTACAGGTCGCATTTATTGCCCGATCCAGATGAAATTTTGCACAGATCATTTGTTTGGCCCAAGGACGAACACCATTGGAGATAATCGGTCAAAATTTAGATATAGCTCCCATATATATCTTCGTCCGATTTGCCTTTTATTGTGCACCGAACGTGTAATATCAGCCCGAATTGCATATACCCCCAAATTAGGCCTGAAAATAAGTATGCCAAATTTGATCGAAATCGGTTCAGATATAGCTATAGCTCCCAAATATATTGTTCATCCGATTTGTTATTTTTGTCCTCCGCAGCCGTAATATGCACTCTGCAACAAAAATATTTGGGGAAATATATCAAATATAGCTCAGAAATACATTTGCTAAATTTTATCGAGACCAGTTCAGATTTGGATATAGCTCCCATATATAACTTCATCCGATTTTCCTTTTATTGTGCACCAAACGTCTAATATTTGTCTAAATGGGATGGAATTTGGCACTTACGACCGAATTAAGTCTAGAAGCTAGTATGTCAAATTTGGTGAAGATCGGTTTAGATATAGCTATAGCTTCCATATATATTGTTCATCCGTTTGTTATATTTGTCACCCACAGCCGTAATATGCACTCCGTAACAACGATATTCATGGAAATATATCATATACAGCTCAGAAATATCTTTGTCAAAATTTATCGAGATCGGTTCAGATTTGGATATAGCTCCCGTATATATCTTTATCCGATTTCAAATTATTTGTGCACCAAATGGGCAATACAATTCCGAAATTAAAAGATACAAATGCTTCGGCATATTTAGTCCTTTGAACTTAAAATTATAATTATAGTCATAATGTGTATGATTAAATTCTCCCATAAAAACTTTTATCGCAAAATCGGCCCCGCCCGACTTTAATACTTTCTTTACTGGTTTTGTTTGAGTTTTGTTCGGGGTACAAAACAACTGACAAAATTTAAAGTTTGTGACTTCGAGTGAGCGGTACGTTATTAGTTTCGTTCGCTGCACAAAACTATGATTGTGTGCGTGGTGTGCTGAATTTCACGAGGGAGGTGTTTTGGCCATAGACAAATGAAAATATAGACAACGAAATGCTCTCACCGTTTATCTTCGAAAAAAATCGGATCAGCAGATGTCGTCCATATCGTTTCAGGGGTTTGAGTGGGAATTTTGAAGTCACTCAATTCAAAAATGTTAAAAATAACAAAAACTGTAGGATATTTGTCAGCTGAAAATTATTTCATAATAAAAGAAATGTGAAAAGTACGTGATGACATCGAAAAATATGGGAATATTCCAGTGAAATTCTTGAAAAACGATAAAATGTGTTTTCGAAGTCGAGTGGCTTGAACGCGTAAATCAGCATGTTGACTATGCAAAACATGATGAGAGCCACCTGGATAAAAAGACAAAACTAACTTTTCGTTGTCTATATTTTCATTTGTCTATGTTTTGGCTGGCCTTGCTTTAAAAATTGAGGTGAGCGCCTGAAAGTATGCTATAAATAATAAATAATTATGGATATGTAGTGAAAAGTAGCCCTGTAGCACATTAAGACCTGCCATTTTAAATCGATTCGATTTCTAAATTGATATTCAAATCCTTCTTGTTTACACTGCCCATATACATCTTCAACTGATTTCGTTTTTATTGTGCACCAAATGGCCAATATAAGTCCAAATGACCTAAATTTTGGCACATCCGACCGAATTCTGTCTAGAAGCAATCTGATTTGGTCTTTAAGCCCCTCACATTCGTAATATGCACTCGAAAACTATGATATTTTTTACGAGATATCTTATAGAGCTCGGAAATACCTGCCAATTTTTGTCGAGATCGGCTCGGAGTTGGATATAGCTCCCATATGTATCCTTAATCCGATGCCAGCTTTATTGGGCAAACAATGACTAATATCAGCCCAAATGAAGTGAATTTCGGGACGTACGTTACCATTTGGTGGAACTCGGCTCCTATATTTGGTGGAACTCGGCTCCGATGATTACAACAAGCAGACTGGCGGACATCGCTACAACGATTTAGAATTTAACGCTGATCAAGACGTGAGTATTTCGAGGAGTTACACACGGAATGACAAAGTTAATATACCATACATAGTATGGTGGAGGGTATAAAAACCAACCTCATGACTTCAGCTTTATCGCTTCACCCAATATTAAATTTATATTTAATCTTGAATGACATTTCAACTGAATTTTGTAATGTGTTGCATACTTTTAGGAACATTAAGTAAATACAAAAATCTTAGTGTTTTACTCAAAACGTGTTCTTTTACATGCAAAATTCTGTATAAACCGACATCTTACGGTGACAATTTTCTGCAATGAAATTAAGGCCAATTCCACTGAAAATTCGAGATGACAATCTTCTACCAGTATTATAGCAAAACAAGCCGCGATATTCTCTATTTTCATACTTGTCCTATCATACCAACTTGTTTCTTTTCAGGGTTCGACGAGGGTATCAATTTCTTGCTGGTTAGTGGATATGTATTTAAAGTGGATTCGACTGAAATAAATAGATATATATTTTTGAAAATTGCAAGAGGTGCCAAGATCTCACACTACACAAATATGTATTATTCGTGTAAATTATTAAATTTTACAGTAAATAATCCAACTATATTTTTTCTACTACCTCCTTAATCATTTTAAATTAAGTCTC